GGTGTTAGGCCCCCAACACAGCCAACCTTCATCCATATAATCACGGTCCACTAGGCTATACCAACTCTGCCTTCATCTTGCAGATTTACTGCTGATTCACCACAGTACCACAGTCCTTTCAAAATGTTTCTCTGAGGTATCCAGAAACTACCCACTAGACAACTACAGAAATTCCAGATCCTCTGTTCCCAAAGGAACATCATATCATTCCTTGCCAGTTTTACTTTATGCCACCACTTCTTTTGTTATGCACAGCAGCTGAGTTCAATTAATGAAGGAAAAATTAAAATAAATATAAAAAAGTATATATAATATTCAAATAAAAACACTGTGAAAGATGAGAACAAAAGTTAACTATAAAATATCATAACACACTTTCTAGAGACTAAACTAACCAAGCCTTCTCATACTGCTTACAAGATAACTTTCTTTTCTAAGCATTTTCAACCACTGTGGATCAAACCAATAGGCACCCTGTGCTCACAGTGTGAAGGAATGTCAGGGTGTCTTTCTGCACCCCCACACACTAGACCTCTGATGTTCATCTCAAGATAGTGTCCCTCCTCCCTTTTCTTTCTGTGAGTTTCCTTATGATGGTGCCACTAGGTAACATAATCCTATCATATGACACACAATAGCCAATTGTTCACCACTATCATGCCGGAGACACACTACTTTTGAGTTACCTGCTTTTAACTACAAACCTTGAGAAAATTTTAAACCTATACACATAACTCCTCACATATTTTCCATATATGCTTTTCACAAAGATTATGATGACCATTGTGAAAAAGGATTTCATTAGACATTTTACATGATGTTATTTTGAGGAGCCCATGGGGTCTTTATACCCATATATGTCTCAGAGTCCACTGTCAGTTTTAATCAAAAGGGTCTTAGGGTAACATCAGGTGATTCCAAACATGCACTACAAAGAAAAAACCACATTGTATTATGAGAGAGGTAGTCCTCAGGCTCGCAAGAGAGAATAGGAACTCTTATCTCATCTCTCCTAAACTAGTGCATCACAAGGGAAATATAGTTTAATGTTTTGTAAAACTCATTAAAAACATTCAGTGTCATGTAACAAACTCTGAAGAGTCAAAATGCTCTGACATGAAACTTCATTTTTTTCCCCAAAGAATTTTTAAAAAATGACAAAATGTTGTGGAAATCTGGATTTTCCTTTAGCAATTCTGCTAATTAGGGTCATGAATATTGAAAGGTCTAAAAGTTGTTCAGGATTCAAACATGTGTTCACAAATATTCCTTTGCAATATTCAATCACTTCTATTTTTAATGTGAAGTGCCTTAGGCTCCATTATAATCATTGCCATCTTTTATTAGAAGAAATTAAAAACCATAGTATTACTTGCCAGATTACATTCCAGACTTTTCATTCCAATCACAGATGAAAAAAATCATCATGTTCTCATTTAAAGGAATTTTAGAAATGTTAGTGTTTTCCTACCGTATTTTATTCAACCACAATACATTTACAAGTTGTGTTTCTACTTTGTACTTTTAAGACATTTGATGAATAATTGTGGCATTAAGGTGAGATTTCCAATTTAAAAAATGTATAAAAAGTAACCTTTATGACATTTAAGTAATAAAATATCTGCCTCCTGAAATTGATGATAAAAGCTAGCCCTCCCTAATGCAAAGATAATTCTGCTCCCTTTTTTTTCCCCGGCAGATGTTGCAACTATAAGTCATGAACTACTGAGAAATAATTTGGGAGTAGCGATAACATTGCTGTTGGACTCACATGGAAGATACCCTTATATTTAACAGCAAGAGAACAGTTGCTTTCAGAGCTTATAAACTGCCTCATCAACAACTCTCATCCCACTATCAAGTTTACTTACAATTCATCTACCCAGGGATTAATTTCCTTGACACAAAGTTTAGCTACAGTGGGCAGATATTGAAGTCTTGATCTACTGAATAAAAAAGAAGACAAACTGTAGGTTCAGAGAAAAATCAATGAATAATGTTTTAGAAAAACGCTATAATGAACCAACTGGATACTTTGTCCTTCAGAAGAATTCAAAACAAGTTTTTCCTTTTATTTTAACAGCTGCATTGATATAACAATCTTGAGCTCAACATCAGACACACTTAGCTTGAGACACCCCACCTGGAGAAGCGATGTGACTTTACATTTCCCTGCACTCTATGGTGCCTTTGACTGTAGGGCAGCTGGGAGGGATGCATCTGTTATGATGGCATCTACCTTATGTGCTGATGGATGGGAACAACTTTATAATTTGCCACTGGCTTTTTAGGAGTTTTCTGCAATGATACCATTGGGAGACAACTGGCTAAGATTTTCAAAGTTTTTCAGAGTCATTTAGGCTCCTAATGATGCAGATAAGCACTTCCTGGGATTTTCAAAGTGCCAAAGCAAGACAGAAATGTTTGAAAATCCTAGTGTGTACTTATCTGCATCTTTAGATTTGTATATAGCAATTTTCCCTCTGTTTCCCTCTTGCTCTACGGTGGAAGGAAGCTACTGCAAAGCACAGATTATTTCCAAACTCATGTCAGGCAATCTGAACCCACAGGTGCCAACTCCGTGGGTGCACAAGTACCCATGTCCTTCAGCCTTGCAGATCAGTGCGTCCTTTGCTCTGCCAATGCCTCCTGCTCATCACACATCTTCTGTTCAGTGGTATGCAGGAGGTCCGGGGGAAGGGAGATTCGTGGGGGGCAGAAAGAGACAGGGGAGGGGGCAGAACAGGTGAAAGGAGGAGGAGAAGGAGGAGGAGGACAAAGGCAGAAAAAGATAGGGTGGGAATTTGGAGGAAAACATGGAGTTGGATCTGGAGCCTGGGGCAGAGCAGGGGTCAAGCGCCTCTTAGAACTGAGGAAGTCAGGGACTCTGTCTGGACCTAAATGATTTAGGAAACAAAGTGTTTATCTACTCTCTGTGGCTTATTCTCAGCCTGAAGCCCAATTATCTATTAATAAATATAATCATGTCCACAACCACCAAGTGTAATGTCATGGTATATTCTCAAATAAACTAAGAGTAGCAGAAGCAAATGAGTGTTTAAAACATCTGTCCCCTCCCCACCCAAATATCTTATTGTTATATCGTCTTCATAACTGCCAGATGAAAATAAGCAGAATAGTCCATTAGTAGAATTTTCCCAGAAGTTTCTATAAAAATAACACCTCTGCCTTATGATGGCCTTAAACATTCAAGAGAATGCAAAGAACTGCACAGACATGAATTAGTTAGTTCATGAATCACCTGGCTTTAGAGACAGGGGTGGGATAATAAGGCATAGTTTGTGTGACGAGGAAGGTTAGCTTATTATCTTTAAAAGGCAATTCACTACAAAAGACAATTAGCCAGAGATACCCATCTTCTACAAGGTGCAGTGCAGAGAGGAGCAAATGAGCAAGAAAATGAATGCAAAGGGCTTCGATTCCCTGACAGTCACCAAGGGCTAGAGTGTGCTTTAATATTCAGCCATGAGTAATAGATAGCGTACAGTTGAAGGAAGAAATTGTGACTCAGAGAATTACAATTTCCCCTCTGTTTCCCTCTTGCTCTAGGGTAGAAGTAAGCTACTGCAAAGTGCAGATTATTTCCACACTCCTGTCAGGCAAGCTACTTTGTCCTGAGCATGGTGGAGAAACGGGAAGATGAGAAGGGTCCTGATCACTTTTTTCCCCTTGCCCCTGACACAATAACCAACTAGGAGGAGAGCAGAGCTATATTACACACCAGATCAAGTACTCCAAATCTCAATGGGGAAAGCAAGGAGATGGGGGGGGGGGGGGAGAGAGGGGGGAAAGAGGGCAGGGTCCTAATTTCCCCTCAGGCACATAAGACAGAAACCACGATATATCCCAAATCTGAAACCAAATTTCCAGTTCTCCCTGAAGATACCTAGGTTTCATCATTGAGAAGATATCAAAGACCTTTGCACATTCCTACTCATGTAGATTTTAAGATTACTTCCCCTCATACCACTCCCAATGAACTTTTTGCTAGAGAACAATCTGGCTCCATCCACATCTACAACTCTTCTCTTCAGCCACAATTTTAGCCTGTAGCTACTTATTTTCAGTGACAAAACTGAACAATTGAACAGTAACCAAACTACATCAAAGGGTGGGAGTACCTTAATGCTTTGTAGCCTTTTGTAGGCTTTTTTCAAGAGTGTTCCAACTATCTGAACACTGCAATGTGCCAAAATGTCCTCTGATGCTTTGTTTAAAAAAGTAATGCTCATGTTAGATTTGTTTAAAAATTACACTGGTTTTACAGCAGAAAACTTCCATGTTGACAGTGTAATGTGACTTTGAAGATCATCTCTTGGATTTATGCTTACTTTACTCACTGAAGGAATATGAAAACAAGACATTTAGTTTATGAAATCACATTGTGTGCCTCATTTCTGTTGCTAGACTCTTTTTGAAACCAGTCTTCAAGCATATTTTTCCAGCTTTTTTTTCTTAATTAGCCCCTTTTAGGAGCCAAATTTTAGGTACAAATGAATGCAATTTTCCTAAAATGGATAAATAAATCATGTTGCTATGGAAAAATGAGAGGTGCAGCAAAACCATCACACTTTCACCTCTTGAGGAGAATGTGTGCATTTGACATTTTATACCTCCCATGTGGCTTATCCTGAACCAATGTTCTTTAAATTACATTATATTTTTCAGTGAAAGATGTCTGGCAGGGCATATAGATGTATATCACTCATCATACAGAAAAGAGATATGAAATAAAATATTAAACATCAATAACTATTGTAACATATTTCACAGTAGACTTAAAAACATCTAGCCTAAAAATCTATGTGCCTATAAATCTAGAGATCACTAGAAACTATCCACAACATTAAAAATAGTCTGTCTTAATCCTAGCACAGGAGTGAGGGGATTCTAGCACTTTATCCCTCTATGCTAGGTAGCAGCACTATGAGTAGCGGTGAAAGATTGGAACAGGCTCTGCAGAGCTGCTCTGTTCCTACCTCTCAGAGATGGAAAAAGGTGAGCTCAGGTTGGTCCTTTGCTCCGTATCCTCACTGCAACAGCCAGCACAGTCACAACCCTGTATGAAATGGAAGAGGTGTTAATCTTACCTTAATAGTCTCCCAGCATCCTAACTGTTTTGATGCCTTCTTGATATCTGAAAAGAACATCTAAAGTACTCTTGTACAATACTGATAATATTACAGACAGACCTTGATGGCCTCATCCCTACCAGCTTCAAACACTTCTCCATTGTTCTCGTAAAATACTGAACGGCTGCTTTCTAAGACAAATTCTTTGGGCATATTTTCTCTCTCTTGATACCATAGAAGAGTCCTAACCAGATTCATGCTGGGACACTATTACTTTGGATTTTGGCTCATACGTCTCTTGAGGTACCTGCATATGCTGACTTGTCTTCTAGGCAGATCAGTACAATATCTTACCTTAGAGACAATCATGAGAACTATTGCTTCCCTAGGAAGAAAAAACAATGTAGCACCATAGGGTATGTCTACACAGCACAGTTAATTTAAAATAACAGCCCTTATATCGAATTAACTTTAATAGCATCTATACAGGCAAATCGCTATTTCGAAATAAAATCAAAATAGTGGGAAGCTTAATTCAAATTAGTTAAATCTCATTCTATGAGGAATAACACCAAAATCAAATTCAAAATAAGCGCTGTGTAGATGCTTATTTCGAAATAAGGGGCCCCCAGCCCTTCTCAGGGTGCCCTGATGACCACTCTGGGAAACCAGAGGGCCAGACCAGGAAAACTCTTCTGCTCCCCCAGCCCCAGAGCCCTTAAAGGGGTAGAGTGTGTTTGGCCACAGGGCCTGTGCCAGTTCCAGGTCTGCCAGCCCAGAGCACTCAGGTGCTGCCCCAACCCAGTTGCCAGCCAGCCCTCCACCACTCCCCAGGAGCAGTCTGCCAGTTCCCAGGAGCCTGCCAGAGTCTGGAAAAGGCAGGCACCTTTCTGGTCATAGAATCATAGAATAATAGGACTGGAAGGGACCTCGAGAGGTCATCGAGTCCAGCCCCCCGCCCTCAAGGCAGGACCAAGCTCCGTCTACACCATCCCTGACAGATGTCTATCTAACCTGTTCTTAAATATCTCCAGAGAGGGAGATTCCACCAGTGCAGAGATCATGGACCACATTGAGGTTTGGTGGGAATCCTCCAACACCCATGATCTCCACACTAGACACAGGAACACGGCCGTCTACAGATGGATGGCTGACAGCCTGGCCACCAAAGGCCACATGCACACCCAGGAGCAGGTGCGCCTGAAGATAAAAGAGCTGAGGCAGGCCTATGCCAGGGCCACAGAGGGAAGCTCCAAAACAGGAGCAGACCCAGACTCCTTTCTCTACTTTGAGGCACTGGACCACATCTTGGGGGGCTGGACGGTCCGTGCCCCCCAAGTGGTCATCGACCCTAGGGCAGAGGGTCCTGACCAGGGCATGGAGCAGGCGGAGGAAGATGATGGCCAGGATTTGCAGGAGCCTGGAGAGAGTGTGGCACTCACCATAGACCCCCGAGGCATACCGCCAGTAATTTCACTGCTGTCTTCTGAGGCTGGGGAGGCCTTGACATGTGAGTGCCATCACTGTCCCCATATGCGGGGCGGCAGGGGCGGGGAGAGGGAGCCCAGGGGCCGCATGTGTGGGCCTTACTCACCATGGATCACACAGCAACCTGTGCATGTGCCATGCCAGCCGGGGCATGTGACTCCGGCAGGCTGCCACACAGGGGCCCTGGTCCGTTACCCACACACATGTATGTATGAAGGCACATGACATGCTCTGTACCCCGGGGAGAGACACTGCACGATGCCCTCCCTCTACAATCCCCCTCTACACAGAGGCAGGCTACATCCTCCCCCCCACACCCGCACTATATACAGTACAGGGACATGGGTACAATCCTGGGCCAGCTCACACTCCTGGGGATAGCAGGACATAATGGTACGTAGACCTGCTGTCCTCACCTTGCAGAGGGGGGCTGGGCATCACCCACTGTGTCCCCAGGGAGAACTGACCACCAGTCTGATTTCTCCACAGCTGCACCAGCTGCAAGTGCAGGGCTCACCACCCTACCCAGGACATCCTCCCACACCCGGGCCAGCAGGTGCACCCGGAACCAGTAGGGATACCAGTGGCAGCACCTGGGGTTACTGCAAAGGCAGGTCCACAGCCAGGACCACTGGGTGCAGGAAGACTCCAGCTGTGGCAGGAGAGCTTGCAGGAGCTGCATGACTAGGTCAGTGCTATCCGTGACCACCTGCAGATCATGGCGCAGAGATTGCTGCCTGAAAGTGCTCCAGCCCCTGCTGCTGCTCCAGCTATCACTCCTTCTCCCACTCCTGCTCCCCTACCCACTTCCCCCCTGAGTATGCCAAGGCCCCCGCACCTGCAGTGCTGGGAGACAGGTAGGCCAGCAAGACCCCCAACCCTGACCTTCTCCTCCCCCTTCCTCCCCTTGATTCCCACTTCTAGCTCCCTGCTCCCAGGTTTCCCCTTCCCGTCTCCCACCCTCATCCCCCTCCTTCACCCCAGTTTGATGAATACACCGAGTCTTTTTTGGAAAGACATGTATTTTTATTTGACATCAGGAAGAGGGGTTAGGGAGGGGAAAGTGGAAGGACATGAGTGTGGAATAAGGCACAAGGCCCCAGTGGGGCACACCATGAAAACTTCACTCCTTCTCTGTCTGGAAGTTTTCCCACAGGGCCTCCCAGATACTGGTAGCCCCCCCATGGGCCTCCCGGATGGCAGCCATGCAGGGCTGTACATACAGGCCAGCCAAGTCGTCAGCCTCTGCTATCCAGGCTGGCAGGAAAGCCTCCCCATTCCACTCACACAAATTGTGCAGCACACAGCATGTCGCCACCACGTGCGGAATATTCCTCTCAGAGAGGTCGAGGCAGGTGAGGAGGCATCGAAATAAGGCCTTCAGCCGGCCAAAGGCCCCCTCCACCACAATGCAGGCCCTGCTGAGCCTGGCATTAAAGGCCTGCCGGGAGGGATTGAGGTGTCCCATGTAGGGCTTCATGAGCCAGCCCTGCAATCCTGGCCACCGTGGGCAGTCTGAAGTGCTGCTGGGACAGAACAAACCCTCCCATGGAGGGGACTTGCATTCCTTCCCTGCCTTTTCCCTGGGACAGCCTATCCACTCCTTGCCTCCTCCCACTTTCCTGGCACAATGGCCAGAGACTGCCATACCTGCATGGAGCTCTGTGCACCTTACAGTTGCCATCAGGCACCTGCCATAGGTTGGCACCATGGGCTGCTGCCTGGCTAGCCCATGCCTTAATCCGGCACTGGGCGGGCCTCATGTGCATGTCCCATTGCCGCAGAGCAGAGGTGAGCCACACACAGAGCTCGAGAAAGGTGTCCTTCTTCATCCTGAAGTTCTGGGTCCACTGTTGGTCTCCCCAGCGCTCCAGGACAATGTGGTCCCACCAGTTGCTGCTGGTTTCCAGGCACCAGATGTGGCGGGGCACGCTGGCATCTGGCCGCTGCTCCTTCACTGCCCCAGGGGGGTCCGGAAGAGGACCTGGGGGTTGGGCTGCTGCAGATGGTGACAGGCAGTCTCCAGCACTTGCTGCCAGGCTTGCAGCAAAAGAAACACCAGAATGCCCAGGGGTGGCTCTGGCTCCATGGTGCCGAGTGCTGTGGTGTCCTGAGTGAGGACAACCAAGCAGACAGAGAGAAAAATGCTTTGCTGTCCCTCAGTGAGGTAGGCAAACAAGCAGGGAAAGCTGAGAACTGGCTGTCCAGGGGGATCCCTTCAAGCACAAGCCTCAGAAAGCCTCAGACAGCAGCCGCACAAAGCAACTACTGACCTGATGCCCTGCCAGAACCGGTTTCAGCTGGCCTTAAATGCGATTCAGCATCCAATCAGTGTGGACGTGCTATTTCAAAATAGCTAAACGCTATTTCAAAATGCATTTTATGTGTAGATGCATTATATCAAAATAAGCTATTTCAAAATAACGCTGTACTGTAGACATACCCATAGAGACTAACCAAAATATATTTATAGGATCATGAGCTTTTGTGGGCAAAATTCACTTCCTCAGCTGACTTCAAGACATCTAAGCAGAAAAACAGGAGATTTTGTATGACTTCAAGGGACATCCCTATTGATGATTTGTCATTGGGACTGTTTATTTAGTTATTTATCTGGAAGGTAGCCCCACATTTACCTTCCTCCTGGGCAGAAATGAATATAGTGAAACCTCTCTAAAGTGATTGTCAAAGGACAAATTAAAATCAATTCCTAGTAGAGGTGGCTTTTAATGAAAAGTCAGACATACATTTTTTAAAACTGTTAACTAAGATTGCCTCTGAGAGGTCTTCTAGGAAACATTTTCACTATAGTTTACCTAGGTACTGAGATATGAGACAAGCCTTTGGTTTCAGGATCACATGTATAAGCGTCTGGGGCCAGAATTTCAAACCTTCTCTAAAATATCCTTTACAGTCAGCTGTTTAGAAAAACTTCCCACCCTTTGGGGCTAACACTTAGGTTTATTGAGTTGCCCTAACTGCTACAGAAACCTATGATCAGCAGCAACATTTAAGGCCAGGCCCTTTTAGACCACATCCCCTTTCTGTATGGGGAATGTATGTCTCTTTACATAGAAATACCAAGAAAATCCTGATTTATATTTAAATGAACCAGGACCAAATGTTCTAAGAAAACTAAAATCCAGTGTGTCAGAACTGGGGCAATGAAAGCTTGAGAACACTTAAACCTGAACCAAACTGGCAAATAAATTTAACAGAAATTCAAAAAGCATTTTTTGTTTCAAACAACAGACATGCATGAAAGATTATCTTAATAAAGCAATGCCAGTATCTACTAACATGGTAAGTCTGTGGTGCCAGATTTATGGTTCCACCAAGCATGAACTTCGATTTCAGTACTAATATGAGTTGGAGAGGGAGTACAACCTCATCCCACGAGGCATACCGGGGAGGTCGACAAATGCCTTTGATGTCGACTGCGGAGTGTCCAGACTACAGTGCTGAGCCAACAAACAGTTGATCGGCACAGTGCAGCAGCCATTTTAATTTAAATGAAGAGGCGATTATTTAAATCGCCGCTTCATTTTCCTATGCCGGGTAGCCTAATCTACATCCCTCTGTCTCCAGAGGCATGTAA